TAGTCATTTGAAACCATTCTAGTCAAGGTTGTAGAGGACTTTTAATGTAGAGTCTCCTATAAGCACCATTTGACAGCTTGTTTATATAAGAGAAATCCTATGTATAACACATTATGGAGTAATATACGTGAAATGCTCTAGAGTAGTATTACCCTCTTCTTGATTATTTCTATTTTTCTATGAATAGTTCATTTATGCATTTTTTTTAAAGTGTTGTTTCTTTAAACCTTCCTGTAATATTCAGCATGAATATATTGCTACAAAAAGAAAAAAAAACAACTATATATTATGTTGGTTGACTTAACTTTGTTGTACTCGTATTTTCTTTTTTTTTTCTATTATCAGACTGAAATTAATTTATTTCAAGAGTTGTTTGTGTAGACTGTTTCTCTCCTGATCATCTTTTTTTTTCTTACTACTCCATTCCTCCTCTTTGATGATGATATGGATTGTATGCAAAATGGACAAGATAAAGAACAGGACAAGGTTACTCACACTTTAGGTAAGTGTCTGAAAACCTATGGCCTGGAATAACCATTTTTTAAGAGTGTCTTATGATGATTCAGTGATGGACAGTATATCATCACTCTATCATTTTGTGTGTCTGTGTATGTATGTGTGTGCATCTTTATCTATCTGCCTGTCTGTGTAAGCAGTCTAGCTATCAGTTTGAAATTTAAAGTTTTTTCTTCATTCAGTTTAGGTAATATTAAAAGTTTGTGTGAAAAAGTTCAGATTCTAGTAATATGGAAAAATTAACAGTTTTATGTGATAAACCATTGGATATATAAAGGGATGGTGATAAAGTACATATATTTTTTGTAAGTAATAAAAAGTGAACTTATGTTTACTTGGTTATGGCTGTTTTACTTGTATTTTTTATTACTCCCCAAGTATTACTGTTATATTTTTTATTCATTTGGATGTATAATGCATTTACTATATTGTATGGTTTTCCGTAATTTTGATGTCAAATATTGAAATAGATCAATTTTTAGAAATTACAACATAGTGGTAAGATACATTCCTTTCTATGGAATAAAAAAGAATGTATATATCAACTAGTTATGAATATTCTATAAAAGTGTTTCGTAAAAAACAAGAAGAAAAAATAGCAAGATTTAAGTATCTGAATTATTTGAATAAACAGCTTGACCACAATGAATTGTTTCTCTCACCTTTTTTGTATACATAAAACATGTTTGGAACTAGTTTTGTGTGAAGATATTTTATGAGCTGTGTTTATTATGTATTAGGTATTTCGGAAACCTGGTGGAAAGATGGGGGAGAATTTACAACAACAATACCGAACTCTGACACAAAGTACAAAGTTATTTTTGCAGGTGGTGAAACAAATAGAAGAGGAATAGGAATAATTATGAAACAAAAGGTACTAACATCAATTATGAGCCAACAATTGGTATCAGACAGAATGTTATATATCAAGATACATGCGAAACCAGTAGACATAATTCTTATTCAAGTTTATGCACCAAATGAAGACTCAAAAGATGAAGAAAAGGACAACTTCTACCAACAACTAGATAAAGTCATAAAAGAAAATAAAAAGTCCACTGACCATGTGATCATTATGGGTGACCTCAACGCAAAAATAGGAGAAGAAAAAGTCCAGCAAATAGTCGGGCCCTATGGGTTAGGCTCTAGAAACAATAACAGTGAACGTCTCATAGACTTCGTAAGAGAACACAAGTTGATGGCAACAAATACCTGGTATGAACAGAGAAAAACAAAAAGACATGCATGGATGTCACCAGATGGGAAAACGAAAAATCAAATAGATTTTATCCTATCATGAAATAGATACAGAAATGGTATTAAAAATGCAAAAGTGAGACCTGGAGCGGACTGTGGATCAGATCACAAACCAGTCATTTTGAAATTTCAAACAGAATTAAAGAAAACAACAAAATCAAGAAAAAACAAAAAACTACATATAGACACCCTGAAGAATAAAGAAGTAAGATCAAAACTACAAAATGAAATAGATAATAAAGTTGAAGAACAAAACATAAATAGTTGGAACACACTCAAAGAATGTATAGAAGAGGTTGCAGAAAGAATATGTGGTAACATCGTTTATGAAGCAAAGCAATCATGGATGACAGTAGAAATTCTCAATGTGATGAATGAAAGAAAAACAGCGAAAAATGCAGGCAATAACCAACAATACAAATTACTGAAAAATAAAGTACAAAAATTGTGTAGGGAAGAGAAAGAAAGATTCTATGCAGAAAAATGCAAAGAACTGGAAGAACTTGATAAAAAGCATTCTCCAAAACTGTACAACAAAATAGAAGAATTCCGCAGCAACAAAACGCAAGTGAGATCTAACATCCAGGACAAGAATGGGAAGATGCTACAAAATATGAGTGACATGTTAATTAGGTGGCAGGAATATACTGAAGAGCTATATTGTGACCCAAGCAAACAAGGAGCAGGAGTTAAGAACTATCATGGAGAGACACTGTCACCAATAATGGAATCGGAGGTTGAAAACATCATCAAAAATTTACCAAAAAGGAAAGACAACGATCGATAATGTACCAGCGGAATTACTACAAGCTTTAGGTCAGAAGGGAATAACACTAGTAACATCTATAATGAACAAAATTTATCAAACAGGTGATATACCGGAAGAATTTTTGAAAAGCACATATATACCAATACCAAAAGTAACCTACGCAAAAAAATGCGAGGAATACCAAACCATCAGCATTATACCTCATATCTGCAAAATACTACTACAGTTGATAAAAAGCAGAATTACACCCATCATTGAAAGGAACCTTACTGAAAGTCAATATGGATTCAGAAAAGGAAAAGAAACTAGAGACGCAATACATCTTAGACTGATAGGAGAGAAAATGATAGACAAAGGAAAGATGCTCTATATATGCTTCATAGATTACACCAAAGCGTTTGATAGGGTCCAGCATAACAAACTTCTGGAAATCCTAGAGGAAGCAGAGATTCCATTCCATGAAAGACGAATTATTGCTAACATCCCCTTCTTTCCAAAAAATGCATATTGGAAGTGTAAACATTTCATGAGAAGGAATATCAGTATGACTTTGAAAAAGAGACTACTAAACTGCTACGTGAAGTCGGTTATGAGTTGTGGAAGTGAAACATGGACATACACGAAAGAAGTAATGAAGAAGATCAATGCTTTAGAAATGTGCTATAGGAGAATGTTGAAGATCCAATATACTGCTCACATAAAAAATTAAGATATTTTGCAGAGACTAAACATCAAGGAACGATGGGCCGATGAATTTGCCAGAAGAAAAATGAGGTATGCAGGACATAAAATCAGAGAAAAGGGAAATACCATACAGAAAATCACTATTGAAGGAATTCTGGAAGGAACTAGACCAAGAGGTAGACCAAGAAGATCGTGGACACAGGATGTGAAGGAATGGAGTAGTAGCAGTAACTGGGGTGATGTGAAAAGAAAAGCCGAGAACAGAGATGGATGGAGTACAATAGTTCCCAACCTTCGTATCGAAGATAGGACCTGATAATGATGATGTTTATAATTATTTGTTTATTGAAGATGATAATAGAAAAAACAAAGTGATTTTCGATGTTTCTTGGTGCTGCCATAAAGTGAAAAAATATATTTTTTTTCTTATTGTTCTGTTTACTAAGTGATAGATATTAGGGGATGCAAGACTGACTGATCGGGAAAATATTAAATTATGTTTATGCAGTATTTTTTAATACATGTATGTATACACATAAAAGCTTGTATGTGCATACATGCATTCCTGCACATGGTGAATCTATATTTTGAGGGAGGGATTTGACTAGATTTTAATAGAAAGGTTTTGTAAAATAGTAAACTGAATTTATATATAACTACGACAGATAAACTGAGGAATAGATAGATATAGGTATAGTACAGCCTAGCATTTAGTACTGCAAAAAAAAACCCGTGATGCAGAAAATGAGTAGAGAAAATATATTGGTTGTAGGGTCAGTAGGATCTCCACACACTTTTGCCTGTTAGCTGCTAAACGATTTAAATATTTTTACATTATTTACAAATATAATAGGCAGTGAAGGGGAGCAAACAAAAAAATATCGTGTTAATGATCCTGCAATCCATGACAACGAAAAGGAGACTATCACCAACAATTGCATTATTTTGCATTGTGTGCATGGTGAACTGCTTATTCATGCGATACTCGCTCTTTTGCTTTCCATTTTTACATATACCTTTATCCATAGCATCTCAAACCATAAAATATTCCACCTCCCCTAGGTCGGCCTCATAGTCCCAGAACAGACACTGAGAAACCGCCCTTGTCGTTACGAATAGGTCACAGCTCACATAATTCCCCATTTTTTTCAAGTTAGCAGCTTAGTCTCACCTCAGAAGCATAATTACCTTCCTTTTGATCTGATCACCTTTTGTCCTTAACCTTTCTCCTTTTATCAAATAACTCTTCTCTTCTTTCTAATTTTTTCACCATACTATCTTACAATGTCATATAATCGTTGTTCTAATAAAGAACTTCTTAAAACACCTCCCACCACAATACTTTACAATAGTGCTATATGACCTTTGATGTCAAACACATTTATTTGTTTAAAACATTAAACATCACCCATGGCATTATCAGTCATTGAATAGCTCCTCAAAGGTAAGGTCTTTATCATTCACTAGTAATAGAGGCTGAACGGCAGCGATATAGTCCTTCGTTTTCTTTATTAAATTTGATTTCACCGATGATATGGTCGCCATATCACGTGTGTGTGTGTGTGTGTGTGTGTGTGTGTGTGTGTGTGTGTGTGTGTGTGTGTGTGTGTGTGTGTGTGTGTGTGTGTGTGTGTGTGTGTGTGTGAAATTGTGTATGTATGTATATGCGCGTGTATATATATATATTATGTATATATACATATATTTTTATACAAATATACATATATATACATATACACAAATATACACACACACACGAACGCACACACACACA